AAGCAGGACTGGGTGTCCTCAGAAGGGATGTGAGCCCCATCCATCCCGATGGGTGAGCAGCTCTGCTCCCAAAGCCGACTCTCTGTTTGAGCGTTAGGTTCCCCACACCTGTTCACCAGTTTTCATTTCTGGATAGGACCATTCACATCACCATAAAAAACATGACATTATTTCTCTTGTTTAAAACAAACCAAATGAAACCTGTTTTGACCCTGTTCCTCTGTAGCCACTGCGCCATTCTTCTTTTTCCCATTAGAGGAAACTCCTTGTCAGAGTTTCTCTTCTTCCACATTCCTGTCGGGCTTTGCCTCCACCAGACAGGCTCTGCTGTGATGAGCCCAGCGGTTACTTATCAGCCCTCTTCTTACTGTTCTGTTATCTAGCCACCTTCTCGCCGCCTGCAAAACTGGACTCCCAGGGCTCCCAGGACACTTCCCCCACCTTACACACTTACACATACATATATACTTGATTTTCTTTTCCTTCTCAGTCTCCTTTGCAGACTCTTCCTCTTCTCCCCGACATCTAAGCATTCACACCTGTTGTGGGTTGAATTTTGTCCACTAAAAAGATACACTGAAGTCGTAATCCCCAGAACTTGTGAATGTGACCTTGCTTGGAAATTGGGTCTTTGCAGGTGTAGTCAAGTTAAGATGAGGTCATTAGGGTGGGCCCTAATCCAATATGATTGGTCTCCTTGTAAGAAGAAGACAAAAGACACAGACACACAGAGGGGAGATGGCCATGTGACACGATGGCGGCCAAGGAGCACCAAGGATTGCCAGCAACACCAGAAGCTAGGAGAGAGGCCTAGAACAGATTCTCCTTGAGAGCCTACTGAGGGACTGTGGCCCTGCTGACACCTTAATTTCAGATGCTTCCAGAACTGTGTGAGAATAAATTTCTGTTGTTCTAAGCCACACAGTTTGTGGCACTTTGTTATGGCAGCCCCAGGAAACCAGCACAACCTCTCTTTTTATCTACAGTCACTCCCTTATTGCTCTCATCCTGTCTCCTGGCTTCAAATTATCATCTGTGGTCTGGTGATGTCTGTGGCATGGACCTCTCCTCTAAACTCATGACTCACGTGTCCTACTGCCTGTTGTTTCCATGGATTTCTAATCACTGTCTCCAACGTGACCCGCTCAGAGCTGAACACCTGTTCCTCCTCTCCAAACCTCCTCTTCCCACGATGTTCCCAACGGCAACTCCATCCCTCCGGGTGCTTACGCCAGAAATCTTGGGCTCATTTTTGACTCCCCATTTCCTCTAACATCTCAGATATGATCTGTCAGCAAATCTTGTAGCCTGTACTTCAGAGTACAGTCACATGCCAATAATGATGTTTGGGTCAAGGACGGACCACATACATGATGGTGGTCCCGTTAAGATTAGTCCCATGTAGCCTAGGTGTGTAGTAGGCTGTACCATCTAGGTTTGTGTAAAAGCATCACTCTGTGATGTTTGCAAAACGAGAAAATCACGTAAGGACGCATTTCTCAGAAAGTATCCCCGTCGTTAAGTGACGTATGACTGCATGTTCAGAATCCCATCCCTTCTCACCATGCCAGTCACGCCAGTCCAGGCATCATTATTACCTCCCTCCCGGGTAATTTAAGTGGCATTGTAACTGGTCTCTGCTTCCACTAGTGTGCCCCCCTTTAATCTGCTCTCAGTATGGCCCTCAGAGTGGAGTGATCCTAACAGAGTCAGGTTACTTCACTCCCCTCCTCAGAACTCCCCAGGGCTCCCTGTCATTCCCAGAGTGAAAGCCCCAGTCCTCACTGTGGCCTTCAAGGCCCTACATGGTGTGGGCACCACGGCCTGCTCCACCTCTCTGCCCGTGTCACTCCTTGTCCTCCTCCTGGCTCACTCTGTGTTCCTGACACTTCCTTCATCTTGCTCCCTTGGAGCCTCTGCCCTTGCTCTTCCTGGGATCCCTCTATATAAATAAATCTAAGTGATATGTTTAAAGATTTTTATTTATTTATTTATGTTCCCCCCAAAGCCCCAGTAGATAGTTGTACATCATAGCTGCACATCCTTCCAGTTGCTGTACGTGGGACACGGCCTCAGCATGGCTGGAGAAGCAGTGCGTCGGTGCATGCCTGGGATCCGAACCCAGGCTACCAGCAGCGGAGCGCGCACACTTAACCGCTAAGCCATGGGGCCGGCCCTAAGTGATATGTTTATACAAATTATATTATAGCACCCTCCCTCCTTCCTGCAGATCTTTCCTTAAACATCACCTGCTCAGTAAGGTCTTTGTCTGCCCTACCTAAAATGGCTTGCCTCCACCAATTCTATCTCTCTTGTCTGCTTACTTTTTTCTCCTTGGCACTTGTGACTGTCTAACAGTCTATGTCTTGTGCTTAGGTACTTTTTTATTATCTACCTCCCATGCTAGAATATAAACCTTTTGAGGATGGAGACTTTGGCCCTTTTGTTCACTACTGAATCCTCAGAGCCCACAAGAATGTCTGCTGTATGGTATGTGTAGGGGAGGAAGACAAATACTCTACCCTCTGGGTCCTTCTGGCTGGGGCACGAATTAAATTGCCATGAAACAGAATAACAGGAGAAAATCAAACAAAGCTTTATAACATGTATGCATGGGAGAGACCCAGGAAAAACTGGGTAACTTAACAAAATGGTGGAGGTTCTCATCTTAAATAGCATCTTCAGCTAAAGACAGAGGAGGATGTTGGGGGTAGTGGTTTGGGACTTCAAAGGGGAGGAAGGCAATTCACATGGAGATGGGAAAGCAAATGTTTGGTAAACAGAACTTTGATAAGAATGGGCTTAGCAAGGACCCTCCCAGTCTATTGATACCCAGAGTTATCTGTGGTGAAGACCTATCTTAAATTTCTTTTAGGCAGTTAGTGGGGGGGAGGTTGAAGTTTCCTTCAGAGTCGTTTGTTCTTGAAAATAATCAAGGAAAAAAGACTTATTTATTTATTTATTTATTTTTTAAAGGTGAAAGAGTGAGAGAATGGTGTATTAATTTGTATTCCTAAATGCCATCTTTCTTTTTTTTGAGGAAGATTGGCCCTCAGCTAACATCTGTTGCCAATTTTCTTCCTTTTTTTTTCTTTTTTTCTCCCCAAAGCCCCAGTACATAGTTGTATATCCTAGTTGTACGTCCTTCTAGTTCTTCTATGTGGGACACCGCCTTAGCATGGCTTGAAGAGCAGTGAGTAGGTCCGCACCTGGGATCTGAACCAGTGAACCCTGGGCTGCCGAAGTAGAACATGTGAACTTAACCGCTACACCACCGGGCCGTCCCCAAAGAGACATGTTTTGAGGTGGCCAATTCTGATTCCCCACATAGGCACCCCATAATATTTGTTGAAGGAACAGGTTGCCCAAATATTTTAGTTTGAATCTATTGTTTTCATAATAGCTAATGTTTATTTTACCTTTTTTATGTTTTTTCCTCCACTTTTAATTATGACAATTTTCAAACATAGAGAAGAATTAGAGAGACTAGCGTAATAAATACTCCAAATACCCATTGAGTAAATTTAATGATTGTTAGCATTTTGCCTTATCTGCTCCATCTATTTTGGGAGTAAATGATAGATATCATGACATATATACATTTCCAACATTAAGGACATTTTCCTATATCTCCACAGTACCATTATCATGCCTATGAAAACTGACAGTCGTTCTTTTTGTTGTCTAATATATACTGTCCATGTTCATATTTCCTAATTCTCTCAAAATGTCTTTTCCAGCTAGTTTTTTCAACCCAGAATCCAATAAAGGGCCACTCACTGTGTTTGATTATATCTCTTAAGTCCCTTCTCATCTAGACTGGATCTCCCCCTCCCACCCCCATCTGCCTTGTTCCCCTGTGACATTGTCTTTGTGAAGATGCCTGTGCTGTAAAGTGTCTCACCTTCTGGATTTCTTCTGATTGCTTCCTTGTGAAGTCCTTTAACTTGTTCCTCTATCCTCTGTGTTTCCTGCAAATTGGAAGTGAGTTTTAAAGTTTCATTAATTGAATTTAGTTAAATGAAATTTTGTCTTTGACTCTGCTTCTCTGTAACCACATGGAGCTTTGGGACATACAAACCTCTAATGTTAACAGAGGGACGTGTTTTCTCTTTTGAAAGGCCTGGCATTTGCATGAAGGTGACTAAGAGCCTGAATCTGTGTTTACTGTGACTGACAGATTTTAATACGTTTTGTGCTCTGGATGATGACTCCCCCGACCCCGCAGGGCCTCGATGCCCCACCCCAGAGAGTGGCCCCTGGGCCCTCCGGGGTTTGAGAGGAAGTTGCAGCCTCCTGGGAGGTTCCGAGACTCCTTGTAGTTTCAAGGGTGGAGTAGAGACCTTTGCTCTAGGTTATGTAGGCTCTGCCTTCCCCTTACTGGACCTACATTTGGCGCAAAAAGAAAGCAGCTTTTGGGTGCCCCGTTATTTTCCCTGTGTGAAAATTCTCCCCTGTTGGTGACCCGTCAGTGGCTGGTGGTGTTTACTTTGTCTGCAAGATGAGGTGGAGGTCCTCCAGAGGCCGAGACTGAGTGCTGTATTATCTTATAATAAGTAAGATTTGCTTTGTGTTCTGTGACTTCTTTCACCTAGGTTTCTTCCCCCCAGATAGGATAATGAATTTCCATGTGGCGCAAAGGCATAGAGCTATAAGTTTTCTGTGAAATGCACAGAGGACTAGAGAATTACTGATGAACTCTAGAGCTAGAGGAAGATTTCAAGAATTTAGGATATAATGTAGGATAGAAAGTACAAGAATGAATTGTACTTATTTCCTTGGATCCTGGTTTCTGCATGGTTTATACGAAGTATAAGCATACTTCGTATATTTCTTCTCTATTGTACAATAGTTCAAATATATGGAATATGTTAATCTAGCTTTTATTGGTCATGAATTAGGAAGTACTTGTATTACCAAAATGGCATTTTAAGGAAAAGCTACCATCATCTAACGTAATGCCAAATTACGACCTTTCCACTTCTTTCTTTATGACACAGGAAATCCGGGATCCTCTTATGCAGTGGCTGAGGAAACATGTGAATCCTGAAGGAGTAATACAATCCAGCAAGCTCTCCCTTAAGTTTGTTTCATCGTGCACATCTGAAATAGAGATCACCCCATCTGCCATACCTGTGGTGACTGACACGGAGGGCTTCTCATCAGAAAATTTTAGCTTAGAGATCTACCGACAAAATTTGCAGACAAAGCAACTTGGAAAAGTAATTCTGTTTGCCGAAGTGACACCCACCACGATGGACCTCCTGGATGGGTAAGTTCTGGCCAGGCCTCCTTCTGTACCTGCCTGGAGGAATCCAGTTATGTTGATAGTTCTCTCTAACTAGCACTGGGGGAGAAGGGATAGAGATACAGAACAAGAATCTTAATAAACCCATTGGCAAGGTGGGAGTACCCTTGTCCTAGAAGAGTTAAAATGTAGGAAGAGAAATTAAAGTTCTTTGATCAAAGATGTGTGTTTTAAAGAATGGGGGATTTTTGTGCCTTTTGACTCCCTTCCTTTAATCAGGCCTTTCAGAATGTTCTTGGAAAAAAGAATGTTATGAAAAAACATGTTTAACAGGTGGTATTATTGTTCAAGTTATCATTTTACTTTCGTGTTGTTATAACCAGTGTTAAACATTTAGTTTAAGATATTTCACAGGGGCATTCGGATAGCAAATTTGAATGACACGTAAGCTGTGTTAAATTGGAATAAATTGGAGCTTTGTATTTTGAAAATCTGTTTTGGTGTGTTCCTCTCCAACACATTTTTTAAGCACTCTGTAATCCCATTTGGATGTTCAAAATTTACTCTTATGGCAAGTTTTCCTTTTTATTCCTTCTGTTTTATGGACTTTGATTAAAGGTTAAAAAATGGAAAACAGATGAAAGGAACTTTTTAACTCCCAAATTAGTCACTATTAATTAACACTCTTATATTATGTGGAGATAGTTTAAAAAATAGAGTTACGGAGCGAGTGAATAAGAAAAGCATCTTCCCTCAACCTGGGACTAAAATTTAAGGGATATAAAACTCCAAAAAAAACCTAGATTCACAGTTTCTAGACATTTTCATCTGTGGGATTGCAAAATTAGATGTGTAATTCAACATAATGGAAGTATTTTGGCTTTTCTTAATAATAACTCCTGGAATTTGATAATATGTTGATTTAAAATGATGAGATAACTTTAGGATTTTCTTGACTCTCATACTCAAAGTCATGGAAATGGCAGTTTTGTGTATGTAGAGGATGTAGAAAGAGCATTAGTTGTAGGGGAATTGGCAGAGTAAGGAATCAGACCGGGAAGGGGAATATGAGCCATGGTAATGACCAATTCTTATTTACTAAGTTATTTTGTGTTGTCATTGGTAGTTTTTTCCAATGTTCCCGGCCTCTCCTGCCTCCACTCGCTTCCCACTCACAATCCCTCGATCCCCAGTAAAGAAGGAGAAAGCCTGTTCCTATAGATGGAACAATCATTACTTGCTTGTATAAACTCTGTGATAATCCTTTGTTACTCAGTAAACACTATATTATATCTGAAGGGTGACCCATTATAATTATATTTTCTGAATAAAAAATCAGATATGATATTTAACAAAAGATTTGGGAGGTGAAAGTCAGATAGAAAAATATCGGCATTCCCAGACCATTTCGTTGTTTCTGTGGACAATAGTGAAGAATGTTTTGTGTTGGGACGATCTTGAAACATTGGAGTTAGGGTCTCTGAGCTTGTGGGGTGGGTGGTGCATTACCAAGAGGCTGGAGCCCTCTAGAGAGGACAGACTGAGGCTCTTGTGTAATCAGATAGTTGGGTTTCCTTATACCCTGGTGAGCCCAGCCAGGATGATAAAAAAAGTGTTTTCGGATGTGTTTTAAGATGAAAAAAAAATGCCATGTAAATATACTCCTTTTGTAGCCTTGAGTATCAGTAAGTTCCTTTTTGATATTTAACTTTTAAAAAAAAATAAAAATTCTGTCTTAAGCAACTTGGATCTGTAAAAGCATGTTAGAGATATTGAAGCTGATACGTGTAGCTGACCTTGATGATAGTGGAGTCAGAACCTTGTGTAGGATGAAGAGTTTTTACTTTTACAAGAGAGAGAAATATTTTAGCTTTTCCAAGAGCGTTTAGGAATCTTCTTTGTTTCTCTTTTTGTCTGGTCTCTGCAGAATGCAGAGAGTGAAGTGGCTTTGAGGATTAATGTTTCATCCCTCTGCTTGGCACAGCGCAGATTTTGAATCAGTAGTTGTTGCTCATCATACCTGATCCTAGATGTGCTCTTCCGCTGCGCGTGTGGGTTCCCTCCTAACACTAAGAGATAGAGTCACTTACTGCAGCCTAGGGAGTCAGCGAGCCTGGTGAGAAGTTCCTGGGCTATAACCTTTTTTAGAAGAAGGAGCTTGAAGAGGTCACCTTGATGCCAAAAGGACCCAAAATTGTCCACAACGGGACCATGAGATAGATAAATGAAATATGTGGTGTATTACTTTCCAAGAGTAAGACCAAAAGCGTTTCTACAGCTAATATTATATTTGATGCTACATGAGCTATTCTACCGGAAACATAATCTACTGTTGTGGTAAAAACAACAATAATAATAGCTAACATGTATTGAAAGCTTTTATCTTCTGGACACTGCTTTTATGTACTTTACACATGTTGACCAATTTCATACATCATCTTTTAGTGCCTAGGGTCATGATTGGAACGAAGTCAAACTCTAGTGTCACACTGCTGTGTAGAATGCTAGGTAGCAGAATTTTCTGTATGTGTAATTGTTTCTGTTTCTGAATGTTTATAATAATTATATGGTACGTCACATCAATGGGTCAACTAGGCAGGGCAAGAAGAATTTTCAAAACCTAAAGGACTGGAAGAGAAGTGAAACTTAAATTAAATATAGATCTTTATTATAAGGTTTCTAAAATTTTTTTTCTCTGTCTTCTCGCCCCTTGGGACTTGTAGCAGCTAAAAATTGGGAGTTCTCTTCCAGAGAAAGGAGGGGAAAGTCCATAGTGGGGAACAATCTTCAGTTTCTGCCAAAGTCGCAAATATCTGTGTTGCATCTTTCTTTCCCTCCGTACAAAACTCTCACTGCCTCCTCCAGGAAGACAGCCTCATATCCTATTCCTTTACTTCCTCTCGATCAGATTCAGGATCTCTGGGGATGCACAGTCTTCTCTCTCAGGCCTGGATGTGGCTCATTGAGGTCTGGCAATCTCTTAGTTAAAACAGATACACTCTCTGCCCCCAGCGCCCCTGTGTACTGCCGCTGTGATTGAGGTGGGAACCATGGGATACCATTGGGCAGGGAGAGGAAAGACTCCCAGTGCTGGTGGTAGCTAAGTTCCCTGGTTGTGCATCTGGCAGCCTAAGTTCTCCTCTCCAGGAAGAGCTCTCTTGCCCAGTGTCCTTTGGGGTCATGGCTTTGCCTTTTGGGAGGGTCTTAACTGTACCACATCTGAGATGGGCATCAGAGAGGATGGGCTTTTGAGGTCCGCTCCCTCTGAGGGTTTGAGGTCTAGCTATTGTTTGGAGGGTGAACTATCACGGCCTTTTGTAGGTCAGCCTTATGGTTTCTATGGAGAGAGAAGTCTCTCAAAGCTTTAGTAGACCCATAACCTGTTTGCTTCTGATGGTTCCATGGGAATAACCATCAAAGATCTTATCCGGAGAGTTTTTCCACCCAAGACTCTGGTCTTTTAAAGACCTCGATGCTCTGCCCATCCTCTTCTCTCTCAATTTGGTGGCGGCTCCCTTGGGCCGAATGAAACAGTGGGCTTGGGTGAAAGGCTGGGCCCTTAATCACATCTTTGGCACAAGGCTCCTGGACTGTCTGTGGTGAAGCATCTGTCCCTGCAGGGCCAGCCCCACAGGCTCCCACTTAGATTACTGGTTGCCCACAGAGAGCCCATCTCTCACCAAATCTGTATTCTTTTCACTGTCTTGAGACTGGGCAGCTCTAGTAGTTGGCATTCTTTCAATGAAGAGTGTCAAGAAGGACTGACAAACACTGACATTTTGAATTTTCAGAGCTATTTCCTATGATGATACAGCTCCTAATGGATTCAAGGTCTACCTCTCAAGCTACAGAAAGCCAGGCCTCAATCAGGCTCAAGTTTGCCTTGGTCATTCATGGAATAAGCATTTATGGAGTTCCTCCTATATGCCAGGCACTGTGTTAGCACTGGAGAGATAATGATGGAGAAGGTACTGTGCTTGCCTTACAATGCATTGGAGGAAGCAGATCCCAGGGCACATTCAGTTCATACAGTTTTGTGCACCCTTCTTGGTCTGAGCACTGGGAGTTCAGGCAGAAAGGAGAGGTGGGCGCGGTGGATAACATGAAGCAGGGAGAGAGGTAGACTAGTCAGTGATTTCTTCTTTTGAGCAGTTACTATTTATCAGGCATCGTTCCTGACACTGTAAAGCTCACAGTCTGGTAGAGAAAATGCTGAACTGAAGATTTGATCACTAACCAGCTCTGTAACCTGGGCCGTATCACCCCCGTGGGCCTTGCTTTCCTCAGCTGTGAGATCTGGGGCTCTAGATGCTCTCCAGGCACCTTCAACTCAACTCCTTTGATCGAATGATCAGAATCTTATACCCAGCCAGCCTTTCTGTCTCTCAGTAACCTTGAAGCTTTTAGATGGCTGAAATAGTTTTATGAATTAGCCTCACGTTAGTTGAGGAAACCTTGTATGAAAGACCGTTGATGTTCTACAAGCAAAGGGAAAGAAGAGGAAAAACAATCCCATTAAATCGCTTTTTAAAAAATTTTGGGGGAGATTGCATTGGGGAAAATAGCCAGCATCATTTAAGAAAGATAGTATTTTTGTTTCACAATTTTTGGGGCCAATTCCAGCTTTTTCACCTCTCTGCGTGTGTGGCTAGTCAGTCCCAAAAAACATCTCTTCCCCTTTCTTCTGATTCTGCTCCCCTAACGTGCTCTACTGCGCACCCTCCTCCCCTGGAGTCGAGGCCTGAGAGGACAGAAATTGGGCTGGAACTAATTTAATGGCTGAGTGACCTCACAGTAGAGAAACAGCCGGATCCTAATAGGGGTCTTTGTCTACATTTCCACCCTGGCTGGTAGCATGCCAGTCAAGAGTCAAGCTAGAGACACAGGTGGAAGCGATTAGACCTGTCATAAAGTTTGAAAAATTGATTCTGGAGGCGAAGTGAATAGATTGAACTTGACAGTGTTGTCCTAAAGATTCTAAGGGAAAATTCTGTAGTTTAATTTGAAATCCCTTGATTATTCAT